AGGAGGCGCTGACCGGAAGCGGAAGTGAAGGGGCGCTGGGGACCATAGAGAGGAAGGTGCAGGGTGGCTAGAGGGCACTGCGCCCCCTGGCGGTGGGAGGACAGCAGGGCGGCAGCGCGGGATCAGGGCGGGTTTGGGATCGGGGGGTGACCGGGATGGGGAACCGCGGGATCCGCCGGGTGCCGGGGTGTCCTGATGTTAGAAACACAAATTATGTGTCAGTASAGTGCCTTGTTAAGGTTTAGGRCTTGACATGCTTCAATKATCTCAGACCTGGRGGAAGAAGGCTGTACCACTGACAGCGGGCACRGAGAATGCAGAATTTACGGGCCACAGGGACAGCAGGGAGAACTCTCCAGACAAGGATGTAACTAGCAAAGCTAACTCAGCAACTGTGCYGAGTCAGCTCTGAGTGGATAAGAGAGAATTCCAGCATGGGAGATCACAACACCAATTCATAGATAGCCGATCCAAGAAACACAGCGACCAGAACGAAGACTGAACATGTGCACTAATTAGCATAAGAAGCGAGGGAATCACGTAACCAATACAAGATGGAATACTAATGAATGATGTAACCTGTAGTCAATGAACATTAATGTTTTCATTTGCTACAGTGAACCAGTAAAAACTTTTGATAGTCACTCTTCTGTCTTTGTGACTTTGCCACCAACCCCCTTTCTGCACAGAACTGTAAATAGACCAAATACCTCAGCTGTGTGTGGGGATCGCCAGGAAAGAGCCCATTTGGGGACAACACAGGAATGGGCAGCCAACACAGCGAATACCTGGCACTGCCCACAGCCAGGGCAGGCTCTGGCCAGGGCCGGTGGGTTGGTGACCCCATGGCGATGGCCCGGCTGCCTGCAGGAGGAAACACAGATGCTGCCTTTGASTCAGAAAGCCAAAAAAAGGGAACCGAAAGGGTGGGGTTGGCCGGCCCCGTCCTTCCTCCCTGCGCACCCCGCCATCCCTCCCCGTCCCCACCGCCACTGCCACCCCAACCCGGGGTGGGCGCGGGCAGCAGCGGCAGGACCCGGCTGGCCGGAGYGGTGACGGAGGGCTGGGTGAGTGTGGAGCCCCGGGAGCTGTGGCATGGGGCAGCTCTGGGCTGAGGGACACTGGGTACCGGTCCCTGGGGCCCTGCTGATGTGGCTGGGGACAG